TTGTACTTTGCATTAGTTGGGGGAATCTATATAACCCATTAAAGTGCAACATCCAAATCTCTTAAGTATATATTCATGTCAATGCAAAACCAATTTACGTTAATCAGCATGTTCAAAATACTCAGGGTTAGTGTCAAGTGCCTGATAAATGCTAAACATGAAAACTAAATTGCGTTTGATGAATGCTTGCATAACAATGAAATATAAACAAGAGAAGTACAGTTACAGTTTGCTGAGTGTTGATTGGCCTGTCCAGGTTCCGTTAGGCTTAATTCCATACCATGAGTTGCGGTCCAACCAGGTTCATATGCTTCAAGAAAACCAATCTTTGCCTTATTAGGTAGATCATGGGGATGAACAAACGGCACTCCATGTGGCCACCCAATTTCCATTCTAATATTGGCACAAGGGCATACCTGGAGCATGAATGTGATTCTCACACTTTTAGGCTACAAAACCTTAGTTTGATCCCCTTCTTATCTGCAATCTCCTGAACCCTTTCCTTAAGCACTCTTTTGTGCCTCAAGCCGTAATCTCTTGGAAGGAGGCAGAGGTTTGCATCTTGTATTATTCTTCCTTCTTCTCATCAAGGGCTTCATAGATCCTGTACCAGCATTTCATTGATCCAAGGACCTGCTGTTAACAACTTCTCACTAAGGCTACTTGGAAAAAAAATAACAAGGATAATCAACATCAAGATGGCTGAGCAAACCAAACAGAAAAAGTTATTGTTTGGATCAAACTGTTGAAAACCCTATCTTCTCCTTGTCTTCTGACTTTTGAGTAAAAATATTAATTCAACAATAACCCAGTCCAGGATTGTCCAACTAACACCAAACTAGTTAAAGACAATCTTATTAGTTTATCATGAATATCATGCACATTTCTAGACATAATCTAATTTTCTTCACTTGGAGAACTAGTCAGCCAATGTTGAAAATACTTTTCCTATTATGCATTTTAAATATTGTGTAAGCAAAAGCTTCAGTGAAAACGAATGACCTGTCACTGTTAGTTTCCTGGCTCCTCGTGACAAAAGTCTAGAATATATCTAGTAAAACAAATTTTAAAAAGAAGCAGCTTAAGCATTTTGATCCAATCTTAAGTACATCTATAATGGTAAAAAACAGATATATAATAGTCTGTCTAGACTAGTTGGGGAGAGTAAAAGGATCAAAAGGAAATTTGACTTAAAATCTGGTGAGAAGAGAAAACAAGCAGAACCATTTCAGATGGCAACAACTTAATACTTCAAGGTGAGGGAACTAATTTTCAATGAGAATCAGCTGCTTATAACTGTGGAAAAGAGGCGAAAGCAATAGCTCAAAACCACAAAATATATCCCCCTTTCATTTTATTGCTTTTCTGGGGCCAAAACAAGTAGCATAAGAAAATACCATATGTACTAAGAAACACCACCTACCATCTTGGGCTGTGGGGAAATTGAAACTCTGAAAAGTGTTTCTGTTAAAGAGCTGATCAGTTGGGTGAGATCTCTGCATGAAGTCATCCACTGGTACTGGAAGCTGGAACTGAGCTTCAACCCCATGACCAGCTGCTCTCATCTCTGAGCAACTGAGACTGGTCATAGATTTGGGCATGAGTTTGAAAGCCAAGGAGCATCGTCCATACATGTTACCCGGCATATTATTAATCTCTGTCCTATGCAGTGCAGGATTGACATAACCAGCAGTCGCTTGATAAAGTGCAAGTCCAGGATAAACAACAGCTTCTTGAGGACCAAGGTCCCCATCTACAAGAATCCACCGACCTTGAAAATCTCTTACATGCAATCCTGCCTTATCTGACTTTACAACAGATATTAAGCTTTTATCAACCTGGTGCTCATGGTCAGGGAACATGATCAATTGGCCATCATCCTGTGTTGTTAAATGTGGTGTTGTGGCCCCCTGAAAGGAAGGCCTTGCATGACAGCACACAGATAACACTGAAGAAGATATTTCCCGGTTTCTTAAGGGAACATTATCAAGTATTTCAGTAAAGGGAGAGCTGCGCAAGTTCAATAATAGCTGATCGCATCCAGTATAACTCGCGCTGCCTTAGCAAGCAAGCCAAATATGTCAGGTAAAGCACCTGGAAGAAACTCCATTCCGTTGCTGGGCTCTGTAGGAGTTAAGCCTGGTCTGTAATCATACGTTTCGTGCCATAGGTGGGGATCAGCATAGTAACCAGATGTTTTGCACCACTCATGAGAATCATTTGTGTGAATCAGGTCTGCAGATGGGTATGCTTCCTTTTGTTGGAAGTAAAGGCGAGCAGAATCTAAACCAGATCTCAAAAGAGCTCCATCACTAGCTGGGAAACTGAATGATGGCAACGGAATATTGAGCAAATGATTGTGATAAAGTAGAGACTGATAGCTTGTAAGAGTCAGAAGGAAGGCCTTCAGAGGGTATGAGATCAGTAAGCTTTACACGACCCAGAGATGGCAGGCCATTGCCTGCCATTAAATTCTTTCAATGTACCAGCTACTTAAGTTTCAACAAATAGTTATGACCTATTGATAATACAAATTAAATTTGGCATCAGTCAAAGGCCTTAAGACATCAGGTACCATCTGTCGTACAGGAAATTAAAAAAAAAAAAAGACATTTAACTACCATAAAATTAAACATTTTAAGACTATAAAGAAAGATTAGGCATCACTGACAAATATGAACACCAAAAGTTATTTCAGATTGTTCAACATTGGCAACAGTAAGCAATTAAAAACATTTCTTAAGACTATGGATTAGAAAGACAGCAGTGAAGCAGATCAAAAATAAAAACAATCAAAGGATAGTTATCCCCTGTTGCATAAGAAATTTGGCGGATTAAAATTCCTACAAGGCTGAAAATAGGTTGTCCTAGGAAAAATCTTCAGAAATGAACAAGTTCAAAGGCCGGGTGAAACTCAGTTATTGACTCCATTTTATTTTCTACAAGTACGTCAAGGAAACAAAAACAGTCAAGGTATTTGCTTGTGGACGGGACTAGAATTTTCTTTATTTTACAGCTTGCAAAAGATGAATATAGAACATAAAAGTACTTTCACTGACTTTGAAATTTCGTAGTGGATAATAATTGGAAACTATATTGCAGCTACAATAATCCAAGCTAATTTTTATACCAATTGGTTTCCCTAATGAATTGAGGAACACCATAATTTTTTCATTTTTCAGACCCTATTTATGTATGTAAAACTCTAATCAAATCTGGAAATAATCAAAGTAACCCATTCTATTACATACCATTAAACATTCCACTTACTAAGAAATAACTGCAAAAATCAAAAGGTGAACTTGCTTTAAAGTTTAAATTTTGAGTTAAAAAAAAAAAAAGAAAACCAAAACCCACTTCATAAAATAAAATAAAATAAAAAACTGAACAAAAAGAAATACCCATCAACGATCGACCCACATAAATACAAAAAATAAATAAATAAATAATAACAGAAGAAGATTCTTGATTTATTTAATGGAAAAAAAAAAAAAAACTTGCCTTTGATTGAGTAAAGCGTCTTCCTAGTCTTATAGTAAACGAAGCGAGGTAATTAATTGAAAGCTGAAAGGCTAAAGATGTGCACGTCAGGAGCAGAGGGGGAGAGGAGGATGGAATTTCCTCGAGAGAAAACAGCGGCACTATATTTTTTTTTTTTTTAATTCCTGAAAGGTGTTCATGGGCCGTGCTTGGTAGGTCCAGATTTTTTATTATTGAAATAATAAAAATAATTTTTATTAATGTTCTTTTAATGTTTTATTATGGAAATACATATTTGTCAGCTATTGACTCGTACTACCATATGGAGATGCATAGTGTTCAGCCATCTAATTAGACTGCTCATAAAAATATAAGTGTTCGTTAATTTATTATTAATATTTACGTTATTTATAAATAATTGGATTTTAGACAAAACATACGCACGCAAAAGGAAAAGAAAATTCTAATCTCATTGAACATATATTCATATTCATAAATCGAAACTTAAGCTTTAATTCACGTTATTTTAAAATTTAAATATTTATTCATTCGATATCTCAAATCAATTTTATTTTTCACGATTCATACTTTTATTAAATATTATTTGTTTTAACATATTCTAATCTCATAATTTTATTCTAAAAAAAATAACTTACAACAAAAAAACTATATAAACCATTACATATCTTAATAACCTTCTTTTTATATATGCTATAAGATTCAAAATTTCTTTTTATATCTGTGACACATGCGCTTACCTTATGACATCGATGACATCGAATATTCGAACTTCTATCCTTCAAGTCTTGTTAAGACAAGGGCTAATTTAATCGATTTTTAATTAAATTAAACGGTTTATCAACAAATTTGTAATAACTCGATGAAATTACTTTTGAAAAAAAAAAGGACAGAAATTTAGGGATAGCTAGAAATTGTTGAGACAAGTCGTTGTTAGGGTTGATGTTGTTAAAAGCCAATTAAGTAGATCACAACGGAAATAAGTACTTTCGAGCAAAAGTCACTACAAACTCTTCTATTACATCATTCCACAAGGAAGGCAATAAAAAATCCCGTCAAAATAATCTATGGCTTACGAGGAGGCGAACTACTGCTGCTACTGTTGCTGCTGCTTCTCCTTCTCAATGGCCTGCACATGAAAAAAAAAGACATCCCTTGACGTCATAATTTGGTGAAAACTCTGATAAGTTCAAATCTGCAGAGAAATTTTCAAGAACAAGTCCATCTGTTTAACTGACTAGGTAGAATTTGATGTGTTTCGGCTGGATCTAAACTTTCCAAATATTTCATTGTATTTATAGTCAAACTCCCAACTTGTTTCTATTATGCATCTCAATGACTTACTACCAATGGTCTTGTACAGAGTATTTGCGTTCACCTACTTGCTTCTATATATTCCATGCCTGGAACTTGTTTCAAGATCATTCAAGCTTAAAATTCTTCATGAAATAAGTTCAATTCCTGGAACTTATCACACACACCTATGGCCCTATTACTTCCCCGCAAGAATTCAGAAATCCTAATATCCTCCTCTAGTAAAATTGTAGCTTTGCACAAAAAAAAAAAAGCATATATTATCGATTACTTGGCAACAATAAATCAATGTTATATTACAAAATTAAAAGAAACATTTCAATGCTCGTGCAAGCAAAGCCTAGTCTTCATGAATAGACAGCATCAATCACAAATGACTAACAACAAATAAATTAAGAAAAAAAGAAACCATCTAGAAATGAAATAAAATTTTCATTTAAAGTGCAAATTGTTTAGTAACAAAATGAATAAAATAAATAAACAAATTACCTTTTAGGACTGCGACTCCTTGAAATCCTCCTTGTTACCTGTCATCATTGAAAAAAAAAAATGCCGATATTAAATAACTAGTAAATAAGTTACTTCATTGAACCAAAAATAACAAATGCAAACCTTCCGCAGACTTGGTGATTTGGAATAGGATGATGATCGCCCACGTCTTGCCGCTGGTCCTCTGCCTCTGTTTTAAAGATAAAATACGTAAGATCCCAGTGGTGGAAACGCAAGATTACAAACAACAGTAAATTTCGTGTTTTTTCATTAATAGGTATTCCTTCTTCTTAATCAACTAAATTCTAGCTTTCTAATTAAAGAAAAAAAAATGATATGCCCAAAAAGAGGGAAAAAATATGACTACTACCCACACTTCTGACCCCAAATACATCATATTTTGGTCAATTCTCATACTGCCAAAGCCCATAGGGGCATACAAAACCATAAAAGGCACCAGCACAAGCTCAAATTCACTCATTCAATGTAGTCAATCAAATTACTAGTAATTTCAGCCCATACAAATAAATTTAATAAGCTTCTCTATTTATCGTCACTTTTCTTGAGAATATTTAGCATATTGCAGGAAGGTAGAGAGTGAGATAATGAAAAAGAAGACAGATTGTTTAAAACAAATGCAGCAGATGAAAGGTTTATGGTATTAATGTTTTACCTCCTAGGTGAGATTGACCTTGAACGAGAATGAGCAGGTCTACGAATTGGAGAACGGCTCCGTCTACGACTGAAGGGAGACCTTCTTGGAGGACTACGGGCATGTCGAGGAGGTGAACTGTAATAAAATATAATAGTGTAAGACCCAGGTTACATGAAACTATAGTTGCACCAATTGGTCTGAGCTCATCCACACTTCATACAACAAAGATCAACACCAAAGTATCACTTATAACAGCCAACATGAATAAGACATAGTATGACTACCTAAATAACAATTCTAAGCTTATCTTTGATACATTATAGTACTCTTGATTCCTTAGTCAGTAAGATCTTATGCATTTATTCATTTGTTCATACGTTTGCGACCATTTCACTTATACCTTAGGGCAAAATATTTAAGCCTTATGAAAATAGCTAAAATGTATTATTACCGGCGCCTTGGAGGAGGAGAACGTCTTCGGATTGGACTACCACGCATCCTACGAGGAGAGGTCCTGTGAAGAAGATTAAATGGGTCAAATTTTTTTGAAAACAGTTCAATAATTAAACAAGCTATTAGCCTGACTATAACAACCAAACCTTGCTGAGATCTAAGCCTCCTTGGAGGAGACAATGGAGAACGACCTCTAGCAGGAGAGGCAGGTCGGCGCCTTGGAGGCATTTCAGCACGACGGTAAGGGATTCTGCACGACGACGAATAGGAGAATCTACTCGCCGACGTGGAGATTCTGTTGGTCGTCTAGGAGATCCACCTCTTCGACCCACAGGCGATCTCCTTCGCGGTGAGGACAGGGGTTTCCGTTGAGGAGAAGCTGATATCCATCAGTTAATAAGTTGAATAACATGTAAGTAACTAAATATACAAATCAAAGCATAAATTAAACAGAAATTTTACTACGTTAAACATACATTCCCGTGGTCGTTTTATCCCATCCCTCTCAATATCAGCACCAGCAGTGTCAGGTTTTGGAGCATCACTTTTAGTAGCAGAAGCAATAGGTTTTTGGTGGTGGGGAAACTTTTGGTCGTGGAGGAAGTGTAAACTTCGCTCTTACAACATTGCCATCAATCTGGGCCTGCATTAAAGCAACAAAAAATATCATTCTTGCAAAATACTAACTCTAACTACTACTACTATTACTTTGGCATTATAGCAAAACCTACACCATCCATGTACAGTAGAGCTTTTTCAGCATCTGTCCTCTTCTTGAATTCAACATAGCCATATCCTCTTGGAAGATTAAGCTGTTAACGTGAAACATGTCAAATAATAATAATAATAATCGAAACCAAGATATGAGTATGACTGCTAAGAACTTACAGCACGGTCCATTGCCAGATCCACATTTACAATTTCACCAAAATTACCTACAAAGAGGGAAGATAAAGACAATTATGATCAGCATTGAACCGTTGAAGAGTCTATTTGTTTAAAAACATAAAGGAAACAAACACTGATCCGAACATAAAAGTAAACAAAAT